ATAGTTAGACCAAGAGTCATTCCATTTGCTTACAAACATTTGCTTAGAGCCTACTGCGTGCCAAGGTTTTCCAGCCCTCAAGGGGCAGCAACCAAGACACTCCCCAAATGTAAAATCACAACCGGGTCGAGTGGCCCACAGGAAAATGGAAGGGATCAGAATAGCTCCTGGCCAGATCACAAAGGAGGCTGGAGGCTGAGCCGCTCTGGGAAAAGTGAAGGGCCTCTCCAGTCACTGAAGCACCACCCTCGCCCTTCCCTATGTACCACAGGTGGAGAAGGGGGGAAAGAGGGGCAAGGACATCTTCTCCTCCCACTGGGCACTCGGATTCCCCTAACCTCTGCCACAGGCCAGAGCACCCCCAGCCCCTCCAGACTGCCCCTCCTACCTCACGGGATCCTCAAGCAGAATCAGAGCATATCTCTCCCCTGTCTTTGGAGCAGCCCCAGGCCTGAAGAATAAAGGTCAAAGCCCTCCAGTCCACGCCCTCTTCCATCTAATCCGTGCCAGGGCTCCCCCACAGATGCTGTTAGCTTCTGCTGGTCTGAACTATGGGCTGTTTCACACTCCTCCCCGCTTAGAATGCCCACTCCCTCTCTATCTGCTTAACTCTGCCTCCCAACCTCATCTCCCAGGAGAGCCTACCCTGTCTCCCCCCAGGCTCCTTATGCTGGATGGAATGGACAAACCCAGCTACCATCCTGATGTGAACAGCAGCTCTGCCTTGGGCTGAGCCTTAGTTCCGGTTTGTAGAACGGGAGGCAGGACCGCTCCGGCTATTAAATACGGAACGGTGTGTGCCTGGCATCAGTGGCACCAACCAAGGCCACTTTTCTCTCTGTTCCACCCTCTCCATTCTGGACTTGAAGCTTTTGCAGGCAAGGAGTGTGGCTTTTGATTCAGAGGTCCCAGCAACTGAGCCACATATCAGCACAAAGCAAGTGCTCCGTACACGTTGAAAGAAGCCCCATCTCACAGCTGAAGAAATCCAGCCAGCAGGGGAGATATGGGGCCCACACCCCTCTCCAGGCTACTTGGCCTCTCAAAGGGACAAGTTGTCAGGCTCACTTTTATTAATAACCAAGCCAGAGCAGACTGTAAAGGCTGGTTTGGAGCCAGGCCTCATGTCCTCAACTTGCAGATCACCAGATCTCAGGCCTCCTCCAAACTCCTGGGCAAAGCCTAACCTGCCTGTACTGGGGCCCAGTGCCTGCCTTGAGGTCTCTTCTGGGCCCACCTTTCTCTGGACCTCTTGAGCAGAGCCCACAGCTGCCTAACTTCTTTTTGCAAAGAGAAAGTAGTCCTGGGGCTGTCCTCACCAACCAAAGGGGCTAACAAACTCTGCCCTTCCACCTCTGGAGGGGTGATACTCAGGCCCTCACTACCAAGTCCCAGGGATCAGTGGGACACTGGCCTTTCCTTCCCCTACTCCTGCTCGGTGCCCAGCGTCCCCGAGGGAGAGATTGACAGTGCTGTAGTGCATACTGTTCTGCCCGCAGCCTGCGTGCTGGGGGGCGGGGGGCACCATTTATGCACCACCCGTGAGTGCTCAGGAGCGCTCAGCAATCACCCACCGCCCGGGTCATGTTGGGGGCTGGGGGGTCCCCCTCTGGGGATGCCTAACACAAGGCTCACAGTCCGCCTTGGAGCGTAGCCTGGAAGGGCTGTTGCATACAGAGGGGTAAGCCTCGACCTCCCCATCGGCCCTTCCTCCCTCCTCCCTCGGCCACGGGGCAAGGACCCCACCAGCGGTCCTGGGAGGGCGGGGAAGGGGCCGGCCGGTCCCGGCAGAGGCGGCGGCGAGGAGGGGGCGCGGAGGAGCAGCTCCACCTCCTCTGTCTCCCAATCGCGTTACAGGCGGAGCCGCCAGAGTTTCCTTCAGTGCGAAGTGCGGTCCCAACTTTCAGGACCGCGGCTGCCCACCGCTTCCCCAGGCTGCCCCTGCCCGGCAGCATCAAGGCCGAAGCTGCCCACATCCCCCCGGGGCCGCACCGCCACCCCCGCCACCCCCGTTCCGGCCCCGAGTCCCCGGCCCCCGCACTCACCACCCGGCAGGGCCCCGCAGGAGGAGCGCGCCGAGGCGGGCTCCGGCCGCTTCGGGCTCGGGATCTGCGCGCGGCAGTCTCACTGCCCCCTGCCCCCCCCCACCCCGGGAGGTGGCTCCGGCCGCGCCGCAGCTGTTACCCGGAGACCGAGGGGCGGAAAAGCGCGCCCGCTTGCCCGCCCCTCCCGCCGCGCCGCTGCCACCGCCGGGAACAAAGGAGACAAAGCCGCGTCGGCCGGGCCGGGCTTCGCTCCTTCCCCCCTGCGCCCGCCGGGCCGCCCCCCCCCCCCCCCCCCCCGCCCGCCGCCAAGGCCAGGCCGGAAGCAGCCACGAGAGCCGGGCGCGCGGCCCCGAGCCGCCCGGGACCCCGCATTCCAGCCCTGCGGGCTCCGCACTTGCCGAGGGCGGGGGACTCGACCCCTCCCTGTGGGGGCGCGGGCTGCTCGCCGGCGGTAGCCACGGCAACGCGGGTCGCGGCCAGGGTAGCCGAGCGCCAGGAGCGGAGCCTGGGGCGCGGGCGGCCCGGCGCTACCCCGCCCGGCCTCACCTGCGCACCTCGAAGGAACCGGAATCAGGAGCCCTCCTGGGATGGGCGGGGCCGGGCGGGGGGCGCGCTCGGCACCCACAGGTGTGCAGGCGCCGCGCCGTGCCGCGCCACTGCCCTCGCCCCTCAGCAGCCCCGCGGTTTCGCCAGCCACCACCGCCGCTCCAGCGCCTCGAGCTCCCTCCTTCCCTTCTGCGGCCGCCCTCCAACTTTCTTTACCTGAACTTCTCGGCGCCTGGTGTCTCCCCACCGCCCCTGCTCTCCAGACTCCCTAATGGCTACCCCCTCCTTCCGGCCCCAAACTCTGGCTGTGCGAGAGAAGCACAGGTTTTGGGGTTGGGCCTGGGTTTGTGGCCACCACTAAGCCTAGTAACCTGACCCCCCACCCCCACCCCCCATACACGCCTTATTTGCTCACCGACAAATGGAGGTGATGCCACACCTAGCCGGCTGTTAAAGGAGTGCACACGGGTTGCAAAGTGCACAAGCAAGGACACATTTACTTCTTTTCCTTCCAGGCCTGTACCTGGACCCACCCTCAGCTGAGAAGCCCTGGGCAAGTCTGGACTCCCTCCCTGGCAAACGTACCTGGGCCTTTCTAGGGAGGAACCGCTGCACAGAGGCCCAGTTGTGCCCTCTGCCGGGCCCTTCACACACAGCCTGACCTGCCCACTGCGAACTCAGGAGCCAGGACCTGGCCCATCCTTTGGCTCAAGGCACACTGGGATAGCCTTCTGGGAGGCAAAATTTGTCACACACACATATCACCCTGTAAACCCCCATAGTCTCCACAGGCTATGGAGAGCCTCAACCAGAAGGTCTAGGTCACCCACACCGGCTACTGTCCAAAGAGCCAACACCACAGGGGCTCTCTCCTGCCACCTGCCACCACCCCTCCCATCAAGAGTCTGCTGTAACTTCCATCTACCCAACTCTGCCTTCCAATTTCTCTCTCACCAACTTCTCATGTCACTCCCTTTCCTCCACCCCTACTTTGAGCACCTGGGTCCTTACACCAGCACAGCACCCCCTTCCCAGTTCCCTTATCCCTGGCCTCTGGCATCAGAGATCCCAGGCCCTCCACCCCTCCCCCACACCCATCACCACCTCAGTCCCCTTGGCTTTCTGCCTGTGCAGCCTGTGGGGAGTGGGGGGAGCCCTCCCACATACCTGGAATTCTCCCCTCCTGAAATCCATTCACTCAACTGCACACCCTTTAGGACCTACTTCACGCCAAAGGGTACACGGGACTTCCAAACCCCACAGCACCCCTTATCTGTACACAAATATGACACCTCCTACGCCCATGTGGCAGGTGAACATCCCACAAACAGAGGTCATTTCATCCCATGCCATCCTGAGGAGCCATTACACAAAGAAAACAAGGTCAAGAATGGAGTGACCAAATGACCAAGGCACCAGGTGCTCAGAGGCTCACAGCCCAAGCCTGACCACAGGCTCGGAGGAGGAAGGGCACAGCACAGGAAACCCTACTGGCTTCACAGGCCCCTGCTGAGAGTGGGCTCCATGCAGGCCCAGGCAAACAAGTCCCACCCCCTAGGAGCCCCTCCCCACAGATCTACATACCTCCACCCGCTCAGGCTCAGAAAGGAGTGGCTTTTCCGGACCTGCAGGGAGGACAGAGTATTTCCTGGCTGTTCCTGTTTACTCAAGGACACACAAGGCCATCCATGGACACAAGGCCATCCATGGCTGTTTAGCCCAGGAGGTCAAAGTTTGCTTTTCTCTGAAAAGGGACTGGCCAGGGGTTTCCAGGCAGTCCACCCACCACCCAACCCAGCCCCATGCCCCCCACTGCACCTCCTAACTCTGGGAGGCGCCTCCCCATCTTTGTCATTTAGTTCATGCTGATGGGGTAAGCTCTGCCTGTGTATAGGCAGTCCATAGGCTGTGTATGGGAGGACATCTAGCAGCACACTGGGCTGCCCAAAGCTCTCTCTGCACAGGGACCCAGACTGGCTACCAATCTCTAATTATGTCCCCATCAATATTTATCAACCATTCCCCTGATCCCTACCCCCCTCCTTCTGATCGTCCCTCCAGTGTTAGAACCAGAAGGTTCTCCCCACCCCTGCAGAGAAAGTAATCCAGAAACGGCAGAAACCACGGTCAGCAGTGAGTGTACCAGATTCCACTCACTGGAACCCCCCAGGCTATCTGACACAGGAAGGTCAGGCCAGCAGAGGCCAGGCCAGGCAATCCAAAACAAACAACCAGGCCTCAAGGGTAATTACATCCAATATGGTCCTGAAGTGAGGACGAGACCAAAAGGAGGTGAGAGAGGAACTAAACGGGGCGGGGGGGGGGGGGTACCGTAATTCCAGGCCCAACCCTCGAATCCCAAATCTGTCTTGAACAAGAAAAACTCTGTCTGATGTAAGCTGCTTTAAGTAACACAAACCCAAAGACATTTTAATTGGACATTAGCATAGAGTTTTGATAATTAACATAAGGGAGCATTTTCTAGAAAGCAAAGTATGCCCGCTGGTCAGCCACACAGATGGTGCTCAGCCTCAGGGTGAGGCTGCGTGCACCCCAAAGGCTCACTTCATTGTTGGGATTCTCTAAATCCACAGCCACACCTATCCCCTCAGGGCCTCTGGAGGAGGGTCCAGGGGCTAGCTGGCCCTGAACAGCATGTAGAGCACAGGCAGCGCGGCCACAAATGTCACAGAGGTGATCAGTGTGCTGTAGATGGTGTTCCTGTTGACCTGGGCTTCTAACCTCTGCTCCATGCCCGAGAGTGCCAGGATCATGTTCCCCTGCTCCAGCAAGGAGCCAGGCAGAGCCCCATCTGCTGGCTCCACCAGGCCTGGATGCACTGCAGCCTTTGCAAGCTGAACCACCTCAGCCGTCTGGCTGAACGTCTTTTCCAAGCCATCAAGCCGCTCTCGTAAACCCTCTAGACAGGAACGGACCTGCCTGGAATGGCTGAGCTGCTCTTTCAAGGCAGCTGAAAGGACATCCGTGTCTCTGTCTCGGGTGGGGGAAGTACCTGCCTGGGCCCCAGGGCTCTGCCCGGGCCCAGCTCGTACCAGACCCCTTAGGTCTACCATGAGGTCGTGGAGGTCCCTCTGCTGGAGGGAGTAGCTGGATGCCTGTTCTCGGATGGCCTCCTGGAGGCTCAGAGGCCCCTTCTGTGCCTCTAAGAGCAAGGCCTTCAGCTCCTGTAGCCGCACCCGATTCACATAGGTGGAGCCAGCCACGCCAATCAGGGCCCCCAGGACTGACCCAATGAGGGACCAGTTCTTGGTTCTCTCAGCTCGAGTGCGCTCCTTCTCGTGACTTTCCCGCACAGCGGCAGAGAAGAGGGAGAACTTCTCTCGCTCTGAGTCTTCGGCACGCAGATAGGTTGCACGAAGCCTCTTCTCCTCCTGCAGAAGCAAAAGCTGTGTTACACAGCAGCAAGGGGGCCCTGCAGCAGTAGCCACGAGCAGACGCTCCTGGGGCCCAGCCTCAGCCCAGCACAGACCCCGTGCTCCGTAAACCCGCTGGGTGACCGAAGGCAGAGTAAACCCAGTCGGGACAGGGAGCAAAGCAATGGCGGGTGGTCAAGATGAGCCATACTACCTTCTAACCCAGCAGTGCTACGTCTACAGAATGTCCTCTCTGGGCCAGTCCCTCCTCCACGGTGCTCCCTCCGTGGGACCCAGATTATACTGCCCTGGACTGCTAACTCTAGGACGAAGTCGGTGGATAGGGTCCAGAAGCCTGGGGCTCAGTGAGGAGGTTTACCTCCTTACCAGACCTCTGACCACAGGCTAGTGAGTGTTCCCACCTTGCCCCTCCGTGACCTGCCAAGCCAGGGTCCCTGCCCAGCAAGGAGGGGCTGCCTCCCAAGCCGCCTGTACCTGCAGCATCCTGTGCTCCAGCGTAGCCAGCTCTAGGTACTGGTTATCCTCTCTGGAGACACGGTCCAAGCGGTCCCTCACCTCCTTCAGCTTGGCCTGGTGAACTTCCAAGTCTTCCCGAGCCTCTCGGACAAGCCCTCGCGCCACCATGAACACTTTCTCTGCCTGCAGGGGGAACGACGGAGGCCATGTGCGCTTCCCTCCATACCCACACAGGCTTAGCTCCGTGCCCTACAAGGCTGTGGCTGAGGTGAGTGGGGGTGTCGGTGCGAAAGGGTGGAAAGGAGTCCCTCAGACATAAAATCCTGGCTCACCCAGCGGTCCTCAAAGTGCAGCCCCGGGGCCATACCCATCAGATTCTGCAGATTTATCCGTTCAAGTAGAAATGATGTGCTCTTGAGAAACTGGGAAATAAGGAACACTACACACAAAATCCAGTTAACTCTAGTCTGATGCAAACCACAAAGAGGCGGAACCCAAGTTCCTGAGCTGCTCCACGTATGTTATCTTAGCTGTATCTCACAACAAGGCCACCAGAGGCAGGGCCGTGACCTCCATGTCTCCATGTTATACACCCAGAAACGCCAGCTCAGCAAGGTCACGACCTCCAAGGGGAGAGACAGTAGGGTGCCTCAAAACCTCCCACCAACCCCATATTCTTGCCTCTTCACTAGCCTGGTATGCACTAGGCAGGAGCAGGAACAGAAGTGACAGAAGGCGTTTCCATTGCCACCAAGGGCTTCACAGCCACAGGCAGGTCTTTCCAGCTCAGCGTATGATGCTGCCCTGGCCCTGGGCCTGCATCTTCACCGGGGCTGTTCTAATTCCACACAGGGCTTTGAGGACACCGTAACGTCCTCACCAACCCCGAAGACACCACGTGGGAAGTGTCCTCTGGCCTAACACAATGGATGTCAATGGCCGGGGACTGACCGGTACACAGAAACCCGTTTTTGGGCTAGGTGAACATGGTTACAGAGAGAGCTCCACCCCAGGTGGAGCTATCAAACCCAGGTGTCACGTGAGACATGAGTCAAATCCCTCTATGAATAGTATTCGTTCAAGAAAAGGCAAATGGGGCACGGCTTCCCAGGACCATGTGGCTGGTGATGATCTGGCAGAAGCCTCAGGCCACATTTCCCGAGTCAGAAGGCAGGGCCCAGCACCCCAACTTCCCTCCTCACCTCGGTCACGTTTCCCTGGGCCTCTCGAACCTCATTGAGTCCGACAAACTCTTCATATCTGTCCCACCAAGTCGTGGCAGTGGAGGACGCTCGCTGACGAATGTTGTGCCCCAGGGCTCTTCCTAGGGCTGTGAGGCGGTGGTACAGCCCCAGGGCCACCTCCTCAGGTCCTTTCTCTCTGGGCTGGCGAGGGCCTGGGCTGCAGAGAGTCCTGGTCATAAAGAGGTCCCTTCTAAGGAGGCCTCTCCGCACCAGCACGCGGCGCACACCCATGACGTGCCCAGTGGTAAACGCGGTGCTGCGCCCTGTCATCAGGAGATCTGTGGTGGGGGGATGACAGCAGATCAGCTTACAGCTGAGAAAGGCTGGGCCTGAGTCAGACTGTAGGGCCCAGGGGCAGTTCTGAACAAATATCAGTAGAGGAGTCCAAACTGAGCGTTACTCCGTTGTGCCGGGTGACTGCAGCCACTATAGCCGCAGATGCTCCCAGATAACTCAGGGGAGAACAGGGCGGGGAAGACGATATTTAGGAGATCATGCCTTCCACCTCCCTCCGCAAAGCCACCAGACACTCCCATTCCACCCGCCTTCCCCACATCCCCCAGGTCTCTGTTGCGACTCAGATGAGAAGCCTGGTGCCCGGTTGTCTGATAATGTCAAAGCAAATTCTCAAACCTGAGCTGTGCCCATGCTGACAAAACCCCACAGAGGAGGGGCGCCTGGGTGGCTCAGTGGGTTAACGCCTCTGCCTTCGGCTCAGGTCATGATCTCAGGGTCCTGGGATCGAGCCCCGCATCGGGCTCTCTGCTCAGCAGGGAGCCTGCTTCCCCCTCTCTCTATGCCTGCCTCTCTGCCTACTTGTGATCTCTGTCTGTCAAATAAATAAATAAAATCTTTAAAAAAAAAAAAAAACCCACAGAGGTTCATAAAGACTCCCGGGGAAACTGTGGAACTGAGGGGGGTTCCAGGGAAAGATTTCCGTAAAAGGCCATCAAAACCAACGGTCCAGACACCGAGGGCGGCCACAGCCCTGGGGAAGCAGAGTTTTGCTCTATGTTCGAGAACATAGGTTGTTCATATCCCAAGGCAGAAAACTCCCTCCTCGGCAGTCCTCTGAAAAGGTAATTCCAGGAGAAAAAGTAAACAAAACAAAACGCCCAGATCTCTTTACAGAGGAGAGCTTTTCTTAGGTTCACATGAGCCCTTCTCCTATGTGCTCTGAGCCTAGGCTGTCCAGGCTCCCAGCTCCATGTCACAATCCTCACCTTCCGTAAGCTTTCTCCCGCCTCTCCAACCTCAGTCATGCTCTACAGGTTAGGTTTCTTTAATCTTTCTCTTTTCAACCTTGCTTTGATGCGTGGGCCCCAATGACACCCACTTCTTGTTACCTAAAGAGCACAGGGAAATTCCCATTACCCAGTCAGTCCTTGCCTAAGCCCAAGAGCAGCGAGGACCCTGAGGACCCCAAGAGAGGCCAGGTGACCACTGCTCCCGGCACACCTGGCCAGCGCCTCCCCCGCCAACCCCAGCCCTCAAGTACTGACTCTGGCTGTAAGAGTGACACCTAGTGGCCAAACAACCAGGCCAGAGAGAAAAGCAGTGGGAGCTGTGGACAGGAAGACTGAAGAAGCTCCAGGGATGAAGAAAGTGGCTTCTGGATGTAATGGAGACCAGCCCACAGCATCCCAGCCTCCTCCCTCTTGTGCTGTGCTTGGAGAAGCTCAGGCCCTCTAGAAAACAAAGTTGCTTGAGTAGGGATATGCCTCCTGCCCAAAGCGGGTCTGAGCTAAGAGCCACAGAAGGGGACATTCCTGTGACACTGCTTCCAAGCTGGTGCCGCCCCCGGACCCCGGACCCCATCCCTAAGGCCCGAGAAAGCACACAACATCCATGACCCAGGGGTTGAGCTAGCCTGGGAGGCCTCAAGGCCAGCACCCACTGCACTGAGCTGTGACCCCACAATTCTGTGGGTGGACTCCAGAGCAAAGCAAAGCACACAGACTTGCAGCACCACCAAGCACAGCCCCGTCCTTTTCAGCAACTCACCAGAAAGGTGTCCACCTCAGCTGTCACTACTTCCTCTGCCCCCATTCTATCCTGATCCCATTCTACCTCAAGGTTACTCCCTGCCCCTCCAACCCTGCAAAATTTCTGCCTTGCCAGATTCAGCAAGCACTTCCCAGATTTCTTCTCCAAACCTCTGCAGCTTTCAACACCCTGTCTTTTTGAAGTCACTACCCCTCTCAGCTTCCTCCAACCTTCTCAGCCTCCTTTCTCAGCTCCTCCTCTACCAGCCACCCACTCCTGGAAGCCAGGAGGGTCACCCAACCCTGGCAGCGATGACAGCTACGTCCTTCTGTCTGTCCTGGCTTCCTCCCTGCTGCTCAGAGCCATTCCTCACAACCTGAGGCTCTGTTAATTCATCATTGCATATCCTCGGTTCAAACCCCCCTGCACCCCCGACAGCTCCCATCTCAGTTGCCATGAACACCAGTCCCGCCAGTGGGCAACAAGCCCCGCTCCTCTTGACCGTCATCCCCTTCCTCCTCTCTGCCCCTGACCTCTGCTACAGGCACCCAAACACGCGAAACCCAACCCTGCTGCTTCCTCCTCAGCTCCAGGTGGCTCACCCTGACTTCTAGGTCTTGGCTCAGGTATCACCTCATGGCAAAGCCTTCCTTGACCATTCCCTCCTGGGCCACCAGGTTTATCTGTCTCCATCAGACACATATTTGCCTTCTTCACATGTTGCCAAGCCCCTCGCTACAACATAAGCTTGGTCACAGCAGAGACATTGCTGTGTGAGGAAAGGACTCAAGTTTTTTCTCTGTTCCAGTCCCTCCTCTCACCCACCCAGCCTCTCCCCACTCAAACATCTCACAGGCCCTCAGTCAACACAGGTAAGGTGTCCCTGCCAGAGGGGGCAAAGTGGAGAGGTACTTGGGGTCATCTAAAACCTAAAAGGCAGCCGGTGTAGTTGGAAGACAGCAGAGGAAAGGAGAGTGGGCAGAGGAGAGGCTGAAGAGGTAAACAGAGGCCATATTAACAAGGGTCTTGAGGGGCAAGTTCAGAACCTTGCCCCTCCAAATCAATTTTCCAATTCTACCCAGGTGACCGTCTCCTACCAACTGCCCATCCTACAAACCTCCATCACCCGTACCTCCTCCTCACGTGCAGCTGATGGCTTGCTTCATTTTTCACTAAGAAAATACTTAAAAATTGGAAGACAACTTCTCTAAATTCCTACCATACCTTCCCACCTGCCAGTGTCTGTCCAGTTTCCACCTTCTCTCTTGCTCTTCGGGATGAAGAATTCATGCTCTAGGAAGAACAAGCTGTGCCCCAGGTCCCGTGCACCCTCCCCAGCTGACACTACTCACTAACTGATCAGACATCCTTCCAGCAATAGCCCCACTTCTCTGCCCCTCTGTACAGCCAAACTCCTTGATGGATTGTCAGCACTTGCTCTCTCCAGTTCCTCTTCTCCCATCCTCTCTGAAAACCCTCTCTGATGCAGCCCTCGAAACCACCATGCCACTGGAAATGCTCTTGTCCAGGTCACTTCCACATTACTAAATCCAGGGATCAGATCTCAATCCTCCTCTTACTTGGCCTATCAGCAGCCCGGGATTCATGCCACCTTCCTCCTCTTTGAAATACCTTCTACACTCGGCCCCACTCATCTCCTGAACCTCTCCACATAGAGTGCTGCAGGGCAGGGTCCTCAGACTCCTCTCTCATCCAGTCCCATGGCTTTAAAAGCCATCTACTAGAATGTTATAAAATTAATTATAGTGATGGTTGAACAACACTGTGAATACACTAAAACCACTGAACTGTACACATTAAATAAGTGAATTGTATGGTATGTAAGTTGTATCTCAATAAAACTATTACTTTTTTTTAAAGATTTTTATTTATTTATTTGGCAGAGAGATCACAAGTAGGCAGAGAGGCAGGCAGAGAGAGAGGGGGAAGCAGGCTCCCCGCTGAGCAGAGAGCCTGATGCAGGGCTTGATCCCAGGACACTGAGACCATGATCTGAGCTGAAGGCAGAGGCTTAACCCACTGAGCCATCCAGGTGCCCCAACTATTACTTTTTAAAAAAGTAATCTCTATACCCAACATGGGGGTCAAACTCATGACTTCAAGATTAAGACTCACACATTCCACTGACTGAGCCAGACAAGTGCCCCCACCTTTCCCTGCTGCCAAAACCATTACTTTAAAAAACTATCAACTATTCTCTGATTTTCCCAGCCCAGACCTCTCCCGTAGATTCCAGGCTCGTTTACCTAGCTGCTTAATCCACATCCCTGCTTAGAAGATTGGGGATCTTAACTTCCCTTTCCAACTTGCCTTTTCCACAGCCTTCTCCAACTTCGTTGATGGAAACTTCAAGTCGAAATCAGACCAAAATCCTCAAATCACCTGACATCCTTCTCTCCCACCTCATATCCAATTCATTGGCAGATGCTACTTCTTTCTAAAAACAAAATCCCTCCTCCTCTTATCCTTGCCACTGCTACCACCTTGTCCTAGTGACTAAGAATGTCTCCCTGCTTCTACTCTAGCCCCTACAGTCTATGGTGAACAAAGCAGTCAGTAGTCCTTTCAAAACACAACCCAGGCGCCTGGGTGGCTCAGTGGGTTAAAGCCTCTGCCTTCGGCTCAGGTCATGATCTCAGCATCCTGGGACCGAGCCCTGCATCAGGCTCTCTGCTCAGTGGGGAGCCTGCTTCCTTCTGCCTACTTGTGATCTCTGTCTGTCAAATAAATAAATAAAATCTTTAAAAAAAAAAACAAAACACACAACCCAAACCATGTCTCTCTCTGCTCAAACTTTCCAATGGTTCCTCATCTCTCTTAATGTAAAAGTCAAAATTCTTTCCATGGTCTCCAGGGAATCCACTTCCTGGCTCTCAATCTTCTCACTCTCCTCCAATCATATGGACCTTACTCCCCCCAGCTTTATTGCATATAAATGATATATAGCACTGTGTAAGTTTAAGATACACACGTTATGACTCAATACACTTGATAGATATATATATATATTGCTAAACGTGTACCACAATAAAGTTAGCTAGCACACCCTTCAGGTAATTATCACGCATGGACTTTCTTGGTGTTGCTGGAACACACTAGGCCATCCCCACAGCAGGATCTTCACATCAGCGGCTTGCTATCTGCACTGTTTGCTCCGTTCTCTTTTCCAAGTCCTGCTCAGATGTCACTGCCATGCCCTCCCATCCCAGCAGCTAGCCACTTTGCCTGCTTTATTTTTCTCCATGCACGTATGTACATGACCTGCGATATGTGTTTCACTTATTTACTTTGCTTAAGGTCTGTCTCACACACCAGAACGTCAGCTCTGCCAGGGTAGGCATTGTTTTGTTCACTGCTGCATCCTCAGTGCCTATAATACTATCTGCATATAGTACATACTCAACAAAAAAGCACTAAATGAATAAACAGAATTTGCAAAAAGTCATAAGCCGGCTCTATTATAAAATCCAAACTCCTTCCGGTGGTTTCCAAAACTTTACGACCAATGATCTAGCCCCCGCCCACATTTCTGTCACCTCCCTTCTATCTCTCTCCACCCATGCGTCCTTTCCTCGGTTCCAGAAACTCGCGGACCTTCACGGCCTCAGCACGCGCCCTTCGTTCTACCCCCAATGCTTTCCCCCTGCACGGTCCCAGGCCTAGCACCTTCCGGTTAAGCACCCCTCCTGGCTTCCGGACCCTCCCCCGGCAAGCCAACCCCCACCTCGTACCTGGCGACCCAACGCGGGAACTGTAACCCAAACAGAGCTCCCGCCACTCAGTAGATCTCTGACCCTTTAATGCCCGCCCCCAGAGTTGCTTCCGGCAGCGGGAGGGCAGCTTCCTGACTAGGAGCCAATCAGAGGGCTCGCGTAGAAGTAGAGGCGCCGGGGGTGGGAAGGGGAGCTCCGCTTCCGGTGGCAGGGTCTGGGGAAGGGGCGGCAGGCGCCATGTCCGGCCGCGAAGGTGAGTGTGCGGGGCGGTGGCAGGGCAGAGAGGGACAGGGCCCGGTGGGGACTGTACTGAGCATGTTTGTGTCGCCCACAGGTGGCAAGAAGAAGCCCCTGAAGCAACCCAAGAAACAGGCCAAGGAGATGGACGAGGTGAGGGCGAGCGCGGAGGCGTGGGCGGGTGCGGAGGGACTGGGAAATTTGCCTGGCGTGAACCCTGTCTCCCTCTCCCTAGGAAGATAAGGCATTCAAGCAGAAACAGAAGGAGGAGCAGAAGAAACTCGAGGAGCTAAAAGCGAAGGCCGCGGGGAAGGGTCCCCTGGGTAAGTGAGGGCCGAGTAAAGTGAGCTCAAGCCCGGCTAACGCTCTGAGCATCAATCAGCCTGGTCCATTTCCTGCCTCATTGGTGAGGTCCTCGCGTCCGCTACGGCGGACCGACCCCGCTAGGCTTCGATTCGCAGCAGCGGGAAGGGGAGGGAGCCAGACCAGCTTTGGAAATGAAATCCCTTTTCTTCCAGGCAGTCTGGTCTGTCTTTGGGGAATCTGCAGAAATGGAAATACCGAAATTAATGTACCTTAGACACAAAGTCGTAGAGTTGAATTTCCAAATATTGTCCGCTATTTCTTGCTCCAAATTCGTATTACACTGTTTTTGCTTAAAACATTTCTTGACTTCATCGCTCATATTGTTAATTCTAGTAAATTCTTTTACATCTTGAGTCTTCACTTACGGGTGCGCCTAAACATAGAGCCCAGCCTCCTTAATGTATTATTGTGCTATATGCTCTTTTAATCTAATCCCCCACTCACCATTCTGCCTCTTTTCATTATGTAGAAAGAATTACTTACATATCAAAAGATTTTTCAAGCCCAACAGCCCGAATACTTTTCTGTGCTTCTAAGATGCTGTTTACATTCATCAAACTAGTGAACAGTTTCTTCCATAGTTATTTGTGCCCTATGGGACCACTCAGCCACCCCGTGCGCCGGTGGAGGCTAGAATGGTGGGAGTGTTGTCCAGGGCTTTACAAGGCTTCTATCCCAGTGGATTTGGTTTGATTAACAGTGCTGAGATTCTAGGTATTATGATTCCCTTTTGGATCGTGAGGTATTTTGTACTTTCCTTTAATCTGTGATTGTGTATAGGGATGATGTCAGTCTTTAGTGAAATCCTATACTACTTGTTTTTCAATGAAGCTCTCATTTTTTAAAGGTTCATTTTGTCAGATATTTAGGATCTTCATTACTGTGTTAGGCATATTTAATTTTGTAACTATTTTTTAAGTTATTTATGTGTGCCAAATAGTCAAATGTAAATTGAATAAAATAAAGATACTGAGTAAACCACACCCCAGGATCATAATGTAGTAGTGTGTGATGTGGCAGTTGAGAATGTGGACTTGGGGTGGAATCTTGGATTTGTTGTAGGTCAGCTATATCTTTGAACAACACCTCCCTGAGATTTCATTATCTGGGAAGTGGGTTGATGGGGGATGGGGATTAAATGAGCCAGTGTGTGAAATATGTAATAGTGTAGATCGAGGCCAGTGCACAGCCATTATTTGTGCCCCTGCCTCATCCTCATTCAAGTATTACCCCACATAGACTGTTGGTAAAGCCCTGTGCATGCTTGTATCAAAAAGAATGTCCGGGGCGCCTGGGTGGCTCAGTGGGTTAAGCCGCTGCCTTCGGCTCAGGTCATGATCTCAGGGTCCTGGGATCAAGCCCCGCATTGGCTCCTTGCTCAGTGGGGAGGGAGCCTGCTTCTCTCTCTGCCTCTGCCTGCCTCTCTGCCTGCTTGTGCTCTCTTTCTGTCAAATAAATAAATAAAATCTTTAAAAAAAAAAAAAAAAAAAGAATGTCTGGCACAAGAGCTGAGCCTTTCTAGGATCCCTATCAGACCCCCGGCACTTCTACCATAAGGAGTATATTTTTCCTTAGCTGAGACTTTTTTTTTTTCCTTTTGCAGCCACAGGTGGAATTAAGAAATCTGGCAAAAAGTAAGCTGTTCTTGTGCCCGAGGCAATGATGATCCTTAATTCCATTCCTGTTTAAACATATGGATTCCCTGTCATAGCATCTGTTGCTACCTATAGCTGGAATGAAGTGTTGTCTTAGATCCTGTTGTACATTTAAGAATAAACTTTTGTAAAAAAATAAAATAATCGTACAGTGGCTCATATTCTCTATTTTTTGTCACTCAGTCATTTCTGTGTTAGTTTTGAGGTCAGAGTGAACCTAGCCGGGAATCCTGCCAACGTGTGCTCTTCAGTCTTGGTTCTATCCTGAACTCCATGTCACCTG